ATTAAATTATCTCCCAGGACAGAGACAAGACTCCATTATGCACATGGTTAGCACAAAGCATTAAAATACTGTACAATACACAAAGTCCCATTTTATACAAGACTCCATTATGCACATGGGGACACAAAACAAGCATTACTGTTAAAATACACCAGGTAAGACACATTACGTTAAAACTATACATTTAACATATCCCCAGATAGCTCAGGTCTGAGCGCACATTATTAAGTGAATGGCGCTCAGACCACACGAATACAGTTTAATCGCCATGGAGCCAAAGTCTTTACAGTCAGTTTCATACGAATGGGCTCCATGGGATTCCTATCTGGGGTATAACACATTCAAACAAATCTACCGAACCCCAGGCAGAAAAGCACGAATGAAGCTTTTCTGCAGGTAAAAAAGATGTCTTTTAACAGGGGGCCATAGTCCAGAGGCAGCAGGCGAGCAACCAGGCTTCTCCAATGCAATGTGGCGAGATTGGTCTCGTCACAGTGTGTAATACTGAATGTAGCCCAGGGACCAGCAAAGCTAAGGAAATGGGTCTTATATATTTGGAGGTTCTTTATTGATTAAGCTATCTGTGGGGGGCAGAGCTTACTTGATTTCATATAATAGTAATGGACATTTTAGACTAGGGGCAATTTTAATTATCCAGACTTACCTGTTGTTGTCCCACCCTCCATCCCTTATTTTGTGTATTGGTGTGTGGTAGTTTCTTCCATTTATCCCGTTTGATCATGGCAGCAGGGGCTAGATAAGAAATTGGGGGGTAAATAGGATTGGTAGCTGGGATGTTTTGAAGTTCAGTAACAATATTCACTTGATTGAATTTGTTAATTGTTAGGTTGGAGCCCGCTGGTAGGTGTCTTTCAACATGAGAATGATGGAGTATCTCAGTATATCCCTACAATGTTAAATCACTTAGAGTATGATGCCTGTTGTAGCTGTGTTTTGTGTTATGTATTCATATTTTGTTATATGGATTATTGTTGTTATTTTATGTTATGGGTCATTGTCAGTGGGTAAAGTAGTCTTATAGTTGGGGGTGAATTTATATGTCTATGTTAAAATTGTGTATGTTTGGCATTGACCGATTTTGTCATTTATATTTACATATATATTTTATTAAAGCCGTGATATTTTATCCACTTTAAATTTGGTATCTGTGTCTTTTTGGGGCTTGTGGTCATGAATGTTTATGACATATGCAAAGAATGACTATGCGCATGTCAAGTGTCCTCTCCCTACTCTGTCTATTCCTGTGATTATCACCACTGAACCAGCTCTACTTCACACATATGTTTAATACCTTATCTCTGCTCTTTATTTAACATGATGAATATCTAATCAACAATTTAATTTAACATGATATAGTATGTTGATTAGTTTTACCTAGGATTTGCCCCCCATGGCACAGACAGACTGACAGGTTTTGACATACATTGAATTCAATTAATCATGTAATTCCCTTGTCAATCCTCTATAATACCAACTGTAGTGAATATAACCCAATCTTTATCACATATGCATTTTTGAATCTAAGGATTGAAGGTTACAGTATGTGTTTATAGGGAAATGTCTCTAGGGTGTTTTTTTTTTATTCTCATTGAGCACGGGTGAGCAATTCCTACCACACATTTCAGTGCATTGTTTTTATTAATGTTTTCAATTAAATTAGCAGTTTTAGATAATTTCATTTTAAATTTACCCTTTATTAGCAAATATATTTTAAGTTGCCTTCAGTACGTCATTGTTTCCCTTTCTTGCTTTCTGTTTGCTATTACGGTATATTTGGGACGACTGATTGGGGTTATCTATTTCAAGAAATTACCTTCTGTTATTCTATTATTCTACTTTATTAGTGTTAGAAAAAGCAGGGACTGGGAAATTACTGTAGACCTCCTTTTACTGAATAGACCAAAAGATGTCCCTCTCTACGGTGGAAAAGGCATATTTTTTAACAAACAGAAATGCTATTTTATTTGTACATGCATTTATCTTTTTAAAATAATTAATATTGCTTATTCTGACTTGATTATAGTCCCTAAGGACTTGAGTTGTGTAGCTAAATTCTCAAGAGAGATGAAATTGTAGCATATATGTCAAAGTAAGACAAAGCCGAAAATTCTATTTCTTCATTTCAATATTCTATCACATTAATATTAGCTCAGTACTGAAATAAATGCATCTTATTGAATTCTCGGCTGGACTATTCCATTGTCAAGCTAGCTATCTTTATATAAAGATATATGGTGTATATTTTATTTATTCAGTTTGTATTTATATAGCTCCAGCAGTGAACTCTGTGATTTACATGGGCATAGTACTTAGTGAAGTACGGTCTAGGGACTAATTGCAGACAAAAGGTGTGTATTAAATGGTGAAAAGTATATTTATATGCTTTATTTTTGCATAGTAGCACGGATGAGTGCAGCTCAAGGAATGTACTCGACACTAGGGCTTAAACTTCTTTTTGCAGTTGGTTAAGTTAGGATGAATAAATGTTTCATGGGCACAGATTATTATGATCTCAAAGATACATCAGGTTTTATTTTAAATTTTTTTTAATTTATTTTAGTTTTTACTAAACTGAGAATATTGGAAAATTGATAAGGAAATGACACTATTTTGGTAAGAATAGTCACAGAGAAAGACAGCTAAGCTGGACATTGGTTTGCAATTCTTTTCTAAATTCACCACAGCTCCCATTTTACTGAGCAACCGTTGTCTATCTTAATTAAACTGAATGAAAAATAGAATAGCTTGGTTGTTTGGCTGGGGGTTACACTTGCCATCATATCTGTGATCTGTTTCCAGTTAAATTATGAGAATACAGAGAAGAACCTTATTCAAAATTCAAGTTCCCCATGTATGTGTGAACTTCAACTATAAGTAAAACATTCCACCTAAGGTCCAAAGACTCACAGACAGAAACATACACGAAGACACAAAATGCAGTACTTACTTTCCCTAACTAACCTTTAACTCTAACCTCTATTGTAGGGTGACCATGTTTCTTGACCATAAACGACAATGCATCAGTGAGCATATATTGTTAATAAATGTGTGGTGCATACATGAAATAGTTACCCATTAGAGGTGGTATGGCTGATAACAGGAAAAGGGTTGTTAATGGAGTTCCTTCCTGCATATCTCTGGCCAGGTGTGGAACGTTGCACCTAAAGGACATGCATGTGTACTTTTCCCCAAAACCTACTGGCTGTCTTGCTTTACAGACTTTGGGACCTTTTGATATGCTAGTCGACAATAATTAGTCTTGAGTCAGGCTTTCTGCTTAGAGTCATATTCAAAAAACATTAATAATCCAGAGATGAATCATACCACCTGTTATACATATTCAGATTGTTGGAAGCGTTCCATACAAAAGAAGTCCAAACATGAGCAACGTATCTTTAGCTATTTAGGGAAATGGGTAAGTCAATTATTCTAAGTCGTAGACAGGTCTTGTAAGGCTTCTTTGAAATGTAAGAATGATAACAAATCCACATATGAAAAAGATATCTATGTACCAGGTGTACCATAAAATATATGACACTTTTCTAAAATTGTTTATATATTTTGTGTTTAAATTGGTCAACCTAGAATTCCTACCGTCATGCTTATCCTCTACCTGTATTTTACGGCCAGCTTGGAAACTCAAGATAACCACAAAGGGTATCAAATCGGTTACATGCAAATTATGTGTGTACTTGCTTGGGGTTAAAATGTATTTACCCACTGAACTAAGTCACAAACCACTTGGAGTAGTTATGTTCGTGGCAGGGCAGGGCAGCAGAATAGTTAAAGGATTTATTTATTTTTGTATCAGAGATTAGAGTTTGATTTGCTAGGTGTAAGGCGTCCTTATAATATATTTACACCTCAAACTGTACCCCCACCTTTTCTGTTTTCTTTTCTACACACTGACACACACACACACACACACACACACACACATATAAAAAACACATGCAGGTACAGACACACACTGACACACATCCACATACAGTTTCACACAGATATACACACTGACACACACAGATACAAACACTGATATGGGGGTGCAGAGATAGCCTAGAGATCAGGGAAGTGATCTCTACAAATACACAGACACACAGGTGCACACACTGACACACATACAGATACACAGACTGACACACATGAAGATACACAGAATGGCACTCATACAAATACAAACACTGACACACATACAGATACACAAACAAAGATACACATAGGTACACACTAATACACAGGGGGGGACACTGACACACATGCAGATACACAGACACACAAGCAAACATACAGGCAGTGACACACTGATAAATACACAGATACAAGATACACATACAGACACACAGATACAAGATACAAACACAAATGCATAGACACACAGATACACATGCAGACACACAAACAGCTACACAGACACACAGATAAATACACAAATAGACACACAGATGCACAAACACACAGACACACATATACACAGATTGATACACAGACACACAAACACACATACAGACATGCATATAAATATACACAGATACATATTAATACTAAGATAGATACACAAACACACATATAGATACACAGAATCAGATACAGACCCGCAGATAGACACACAGATACACTGACACACATGTAGACACAGAGATTTATGCACACAGACTGGCTAAGGCTGTTTGGAGTTAGAGGTTCACCTGGACCGTTCCTCCTCCTCTGTGCCTGTTCCTCCATTGCACCTCATTCTGTTAGCTGGGAGGAAATGTTAAAGGTGCCCAGTTGTTCAGCTAAAGGGCCACAGCACTGAGAGGGTCACTGAAGACAGATGCTCATGGCCCATGCACTTAGGGCCACCCAATGGACCCCCTCAGAATGCAGGCCTCAGTAATTCACCAAGCTCTGGCTATACCCTGGCCTCTATAGTCCTTCACTTCAGCTAATTCTAAAATATGAAGAGGCTGCAGATCATCAGGGTTAAAAGAGCTGGGCTGGGCTGGGAACGAAAAAGAGACAGGGCTGGGCTGGGAACGAAAAGCAGCCCTGGAAAAAAATTCTATACCAGCCCTCTCCCTATACAACCATGCATTATTGGGCTGGTATAGAATTTTTTTCCAGGGCTGCTTTTCGTTCCCAGCCCAGCCCTGTCTAGCACTCCTCTCTTTTAGCCTGATGATCTGCAGCCTCTTCATATTTTAGAATTAGCTGAAGTGAAGCTTATTTAAAAAAATAATATCAGGAAATATTACTTTACTGAGAGGGTAATAGATGCATGGAATAGCCTCTCAGCTGAAGTGGTAGAGGTTAACGAAGTGTAGGAGTTTAAGTATGCATGGGATAGGCATAAGGCTATCCTAGCTATAAGATAAGACCAGGGACTAATGAAAGTATTTAGAAAATTGGGCAGAATAGATGGGCCGAATGGTTCTTAACTGCCGTCACATTCTATGTTTCTATGATCTCTGCCAATTCAATGCTTTCCCATAGGAAAGCATTGGGAGGAAATTGTGCATGTATGGTAAAACCCTGTGCAGCACCAATCAGCATCTCAGCATAGAGATGTATTTAATCAATAAATCTCAATGTGTAATGTCCCGCGTCATCATGCAGAGACGCTCAACTTAGGTACTGCACACTGTGCAGCACAGGACTACGAAGCACCTCTAGTGGCTGTCTGAGTGACAGCCACTGGAGGTGTTCCTAGACAGCAATTTCAACACTATAATTTCTGTGAAAAGGCAGCCTTCACAGTGCTCAGCCTGCAGGAACAGGCTATATACACCAAAACCAATATATTAAACTGTAGTCGATTTAATAACAATAGTGTCCCTTTACTAAGATGTATTTCTCTCGCCTGTCAATCAACTCTTCTGTAACGATTCCTGTGCTGAATAACTGAGTTACAGGGAGACGAAGAGACCAAGGCGAAGATGCATTCCTCCCACAAAAAAATGCATATTCACCTGTTTCTCTTAATCTTCCTTTTGAATTTCTTGCCACCATTTTGTTTCTTATGCCCTCTTTGGATTGTCTTACCCACTTTAGTGTGTCTTCCCCTTTTTGTGTCTCTTACAACTCCCTGTGCATATTTTACTTCATCCCAGCCCTTTGTGTGTCTCCAGCTGTATGTCTCTTTGCCCCAATCCCTTTTGCATGTCTTTCTCCCCAAGCCCATTTCATGTGTCTCTTAGCCCCACCCACATTTTTCTCTTTCTCCCCTTCCCAAGCCCCTCTGTGTGTCTCTTATTTTCATTCCTCAGCCCCTTTATGTGTCTCTTGTTTATGTGTCTCCTTCCCAGCCTCTGTGTGTGTCTCTTTCTCCCCCAAGCACATTTGTGTGGCTCCCCTCTGTGTATCTTTTTCTCTCCCCATCCTCTCCATGTGTCTCATTTCCCCCAGTACCTCCATGTGTGTTATTTCTCCTCGGTCCTTGCCTCTCTTCCATGTCCACTGCACCCGTCATCATGTATCCTGCTGTGTCCACACCTGATCCATTGGCAACCTCCTGGGGGCTGGGATTCACCACCCGCTGACCCACTAAGCCCAGGAACATTGTTCCCCTTATCCTTGTCCCTGTCTTCTGCCCTGGGCCTGTTCCCTGCCAGGGTTAAACCCGTCCGTGACCTGCTATCTGCTTCCCCCCTTTCCACCTGCGGGGGCACTAGCGCCGAACTCTCTGCTTGCGTCAAGTCCCCCTGCCCCTCAGTATCGCCACCAGGGGCGGACTCACCGGGGCGCTGCCTGTCGGATCCATCACTGCCGTGCGGCCTGGCCACCTCCTCTGCCGGGCCGGATCCAGCCTCTCGATGTGGCCTCCCGCCCGCGGACATGCGGCGGGGCGCACTCTGTGCGGTAGGCCTCCGTGCCTGACCGGCGCCCGACCTGCACGCTCTCACCCCTGCGGCCCGTCCCTCCGCCTGGGCCGCAACTCCCGCTCGACGCGACGACGAACTCATTAACGGTTCTGCTCCTGGGCTGAGCCGTTGGGGCAGTCGGGCCCTTCTCCTCGGCCTCTTCTCCAACACCGCAGGTGGTGAGCAGACGTGCTTGGGACCCCCAATTTTTCCTGTAGACATGCCATCCCCTTCTCCTTCACCTGCCAGGATTTCTTCAGCAGCGGCCATACCTGAAAGAGAAAACAAAACCACACAGAAGTAAGTGAGGTTTTGATTAAGATGGCCACTTCACTAAAATGGACGTTATTTAAACCTCTACTCTCCTCCCCCCAAACCCAATATTAATTTTCCACACCCCCTGACCATAACTTCACCTGCCCACTCACCTGCAGAAATAGTGCAACCCCAAAAGGTGTAAAGGCACAGATTTTGGACCTTACAGAAATGTTCCACAGAGAGCTACACTGCAGATGTGGGAGGATCTGATGATAAAGGAGCGTTTTTTGCAGCAGTGCCCAGCAGATGTACCGCGATGGCTGCTAGGTTGGGAGCCCAAAACATCATTAAGGTCTGGCCTTAAGCCTTTCATCACAGCACCCTCCCTGTCAAACCCATTCATTCATGTAAGGCTTTATAAAATTAATCATTATTAAAGAAAAAAAAAATGTTTTCCTTTGCTGTTGTTACCCTGAAGGGAGTGGGGCATGCTGATCTCTGGTGATCCAGTGTGATGGGAATCTGGCATGCTGCCTTGCCCCTATGTGTGCTATTTTTTTGCGTGTATTGACTGTGTGGGATATTTGGGATGGATAATTAATTCTGATTTAAAAAATGCATGTAGGCCTATTTGTGAATGCAGATGCGTATCATATGCACACAGTCAGATGCACACAATTATGTACATATACTGTCAAATACAGCAACATGCACACAGTCCCAGGCACATAGTCACCTACATACAGTCACTTGCACAGTTACAGGCAGAAGGTTGCACACACACATACACACACACACACACACATACACACACACACACACATACACTTACTTGCAGGCAGACAGTCACACAGTTACAGGCAGACACACACACACACTCACTCTGCCATTGTGCTGCCGTTTCATGCATGTGCAAGCTATATAGGCCACCTGGCGCCCCTGCTGCCATGGCACCCTATGCAGCCGCACAGATCTCACATCTCTAATGCTGGCTCTGCTTGTGAGTCCTGTGGACTTTATTCTTGGAAGGCGCTTAGCAGTGAAAAGGATTGAAGGAGTATGTTCTGCAGTGTCAATGGCATAAGTTTATTTGAATTGAGGAGTGGGAAGAGATGTGGGGGTATCTGATTACACAGATGAATGTATTACTGGGTACTGATACAATTATTGTACTAGCCACATAAGTAACTAGGATTTTCTGTTAATTTCCCTTTTATTTTCATCTGTTTGTTGGTGTAATTAGTTTGTCAACTTTATTTTTTATGTATGTGATTTTTTTCTCATTCATTTTTTATCAGTAGCAAATTAAAAATACAAGTAACAACAAATAACAAAAATCTTATACGTAGGTATACAGTTGACATTGTAGTTCAGGACAAGCTGGATTACCACTTCTTTTTAAAAAATAAGACAAGAGAAACAACGTTTAACAATACATCATTTGCGGATGAAATTAATGCTAGGTCAGAGCAATAAGCATATGATGAAGATGCAAATAAGAACAGTTGGGATATAATAGGTACCACGTGTCATGTAATGCAGGAAACATGTCAAAGGACTAAAGCATATAAACAAGACATATATAACACACATGCCTAAAATTAAAATATGTAGAAGCAAGCAACTTCTGGAATAAAAGGGAATCATGACATGTCACACATGTCATGTGTCCTTAAGGGGATAAATGATAAAACCACCGCCCCAGTAAGAGTACATTGAAAGAAAATAGTAATGCAACCTGCACATTAATAGCAGGTACACTGACATGCAACATCATGCAATATAAGGCCTATAGTGTGTTGGATCAATATGCAGGTATGTCCAAGAGATGGAGAGTCATCCGATGCCTGTGCTGTGGAAGGCATCCTTGTACCAAATCATATTGTGGCAGGTCGCTCCCTGCACTGCTCCCAGGTTTAGCTAACCGGCTCCAATCCTCCATGGGAACTGTAGCACATTACATGCTTACACAGATTTTTAGGGCTATGTCCCAGTCGTAAGGCATGTGGACAGTACCTAGGTAAGGCCCGACCCCCCCCGCACCCCCCGGGTTCCCAGCCCAGAATGGGAGGTACAGGCCCCGATATCATCAGGGAGCAAATGCCAGTCAGCTGAGTTGGTTTATCAACTTAGGAGTGGATTTGTCCCTGACTCACATGTGCACTCCAGGACCGCTACTATCTGGCGGTCAGTCTCGCAGTCTTGTGTAGAAGAGCTAGATTGCAAGTATGTGTCGAGCACTGTTGCAGTGGAGGCCGGGATAACCCCCACCAGTCCAGAGGGGGAAGGATATGGGTCCCACCAGCCATATAGGCAAGTGAGCTCTGACGAGGAGCACGGCTGCCACTCCCAGTCTAGTCCTCAACAGGCTACTATTATAAACTGCCTGATTTCAGGCAGTACGTTTCTTGGAGAAGCACCATACGGTGCAACAAGGCTGCCACTGCTGGATGCAATTGATGGACAGTAAGCACACTTTGATCAAGCTCTATGCCCAATAATGTGAGCAGCTCACCAGCCATGTGTCTATCTAGTATGGCAGCCAAGCCCTGCTTCCCACTGTAACTTGTGTGATTATGGTAGCATTAATATCTCAGTGGTTTCCATAAATATATTGATTTATTTATAAAATATTTCACCAGGAAGGATACGTTGAGATTTCTCTCGTTTTCAAGTATGTGCTGGGTTTAATATCGATTATGAAATTGTAATTTCCATAAAAGTTAAAGGGACACTATAGTCACCATAGATCACGCCCCTGCAGTCTTACTGCTCAATTTTCTCCTATTTAGTAGTTAAATCACTCTGCACATGCAGCCCTAGGCACACCTCCCTGCATGTAACTTACACAGCCTTCCTAAACACTTCCTGTAAAGAGTCATCTAATGTTTACACTTCCATTATTGCAAATTCTGCTCAATTTAGAATTTCTTATCTCCTGCTCTGTTAATAGCTTGCTAGACCCTTCAGGAGCCTACTGTACGTAATTAAAGTTCAATTTACACAGCAGGAGATACAAAAGTATGTAACATCTGATTGAAAATTAAACCATTTT